GTGTATATTTCTTAGTGTATGAATATTAATAGGTAATTAATCACTTATTAATTTTCCTTTCGATAAGTCCCTTTATTAATCACGGATCGCCACAGTGGAATGATCCGCCAACTTATCCTTCATATGTGTTACACTGTGGATGCCCTTCCAGCCACAACCCAGCACACTGAAAAACACCCATTCACTCCTGCATTCACACTCATACACTACGGCCAATTCAACTTGTTTAATTCACCTATAGCACACGTCTTTGGACTGTGGGAGAAACTGAAGCACCTGGTGGAAACACACGCCAACATGGGGAGAACAAGCAAATTCCACACAGAAATGCCAACTGACCCAGCCAGGACTCGAACCAGTGATTTCCTTACTGTGAGGTAACAGTGCTAACCACTGAGCCACGGTGTTGCTTCAATGAATAATTAATTATATTTAATATGCAATGGAATATATTTTGCTACATTATATTTGTATTTTAAGTAGGTCATTACTTTATAGAGTGTTGTACTGTTACCCCATCAACATTTAATTACAGCAATCATGCTATTCTTGAGCAGTTTGTGCTAGGATTGTCATTTAAATGGCATCTGTCATCCCAAGCCAGTTGCTAGTAGGAATCGGGGCAGGTACTAGGAGAAAAAAAAAAAAACACTATTAAAATGATAACCCAGAAATCATGTTATTTTCTGCACAGCACTGCATATGAGTTATGCTGCAGAAATGCTGTGTGTGTGAAAGCAGCACTTGATCCTGCTGATGCGGTAACGCTGTCTCAAACAAGCCAAAGCCTGAATTTCAAGTCCGGTCACAATCCACAAGGACATTGTGATCTCTTACACACATTCACTCTTTCTGGTTTCTACAGAGCTTCTCTGCCTTGTTTTGTATGCTAAAATGTGCACGACTCTGATAAGCCATACATGCTGAACTTCCCGTTAACTGTGGCTGTGTGAAAGCAGATGTTCAGATGCTCATTAATTAAGTCTCTATCTGCTTTCTCAGGATGATAGGGAAGGATGCTGGAAGGCAGTGAGTTTAGTGTGTGTTTGTGTGTGTGTGTGTGTGTGTGTGTGTGTGTCTGTGTTTGTTCTTTTTTCAAACCCACACATATAGAGTGATATTTTCCTTTTTATATGCTTTCCTATAACACTTGGTACTCGCACAGAAAAGTAAAACATCATAATCATAGATGGTAAATAGCGAAGGAGGTACCTGTATTTAAATAGTTTTAATTTATAATTATTTTAAAACCATGAATATATTTATTTAAAATAATATTAAATACATTTTCACTAACTTTAAAAGTTTTACACAACTCTATATTTAAAAAGTGCAACATAAATAATTATAAAATTAATAATAATTTTAAATTAAAAAAATATTATTATTTTTATTAATTTAAAAATGTATAATTTTAATTAAATATTAAATTAATGATGTATAAAATAAATACACAAATATTTTTAAAGGTGCTTCATTTAAGTTTTTGACTCCTCTAAAGCATAAAAAATACCATAATATGTTTGTAGATGTTTTAGAAGCATGCTAAGTGAACAATCTTGTTTATCTGAAAAACAACGCTAAAGTCAGATATTCTGCTTTAAAAATGTGTGTTACATGCTGGAATGGCTGTCTTTGTTTTGGTCTCTTTAACCTGCCCAATGCCAGTTTAGCCAATTGTATTTCAGCACCCCACGTTGCCTTTGTGAAAAACAGCATATTTATTTTATTCAGTCAGGAAGACTCTCAAACCTCTCACCTCCATTGAACAGTAACAGCCTCAGAAATGAGACGCAGATTCAGACTTCCACATGAGGTGGTTATTAATCAGCAAACAATTTTAATATCATGAACGTAAACAATAAGTGAGCAGGTTACATTGTAAGAAACCCCTTGTCCTAACAGCAATCCATGTGAGGAGATACGCAGTGATTTAGCTGTTATGTGAGGAGTAAAGTAATTTAGCTGTTTGCACCAGATGAAATATGACAGAAATTTAAATTCAGCCATTCCAGATATACCTTAAAAACCGTTATCATCCCCTGCCTAATCTAAGGTTGTCATTGTCATAGTTTTCTATTGTTCAGCTGCAGGAAATAGAAGCCGTTTCTTATGTTTCAGGTGTTGGTTAGGACAAAAACTCACTTTAATATGTAAAACATTCCATCATGGGCCATTGCTTTTAGTTAGAACACAAATCAGCCTTTAGGTTCAATAGTCAGGCAGGTAGTCCTGTTGGTGTCGGCAATCTGGCAACCAGGCATGCAATACCTAGCTCAACCACTGGGTGTCAAACTTGCACACCGTAATATAGCACATATATAATATGAATATATATACATAACATTTTTGTTTTAGATTTTATTAGAAATATTGTTTTAGCAACTAGCGGAAATAAAATACATTCTTTTTATAAGTAATCATTATTTTCATTAAATTTTTTTAATTATTATAATCCTAACTTTAGGTTTTAATATGACTACCTTAATTTAGTGAATAAATGAAAATCTGTTTTAAATAATACGCTTTTGAACTTTTATTATAAAAATGTATATAAACATTAAATATTTAAATGATATATGTTAGGTAAAAGGCGACACAGTGGCGTAGTGGGTACCACATTCACTTCACAGCAAGAAGGTCACTAGTTCGAGCCTAGGCTGGGTCAGTTGGTGTTTCTGTGTGGAGTTTGCATGTTCTCCCCTTGTTCGTGTAGGTTTCCTCAGGGTGCTCCGGTTTCCCCCACAAATCCAAAGACTTGTGCTATACAGGTGAATTGGGTATGCTAAAAAAATTGACCGTATTGTATATGTGTGAATGAGTGTGTGTGGATGGGTTGCAGCTGGAAGGGCATCTGCTGCTTAAAACAATCCTGGATAAGTTGGCGTTTCATTCTGCTGTGGCGACCCGTGATTAATAAAGGGACTAAGCCGAAAAGAAAATGAATGAATGAATGAATATTAAATAAATTCGCTTTCTAGTTTATTAAATACATCCATAGGTGATTTATTTATTTAGCTCTTTGTACAGATGTTTCTTGTTTTCTTTCATTATGTATATCCCTAATCATTTTTCTACTGCCTTACAGCATGTCTAGAGTTCATTATTTTCAGCTTGCTATGCGTGTTGTCTGTTTTACCTAACCACTAAACATCTCCAGTATACCCTTTCACTAGTGTATATGAAGCTTTTATTCTGATTGTACTTATTCCGTGCTTTTGACTGGGTTCCAGGTACAGGTGGATGAATATAAACAGCTGAAGGACACGCTTGATAAGATGCCCAGTCTGAGAAATGCAGCCGTACAACCGCAAGCACCTGTACAGCTAGTCCAGAACAAGAACATTGATGAACCCCAACAACCCAAGCAAGAGGTAATAAACCCTTTCACATTACCAGTAGGGCTGCACAACATTTAATTCAGATGCCAAAACACTCACTTTCCTGTCAAATGATTAAAAATGCATGAACCAATTGGTACAGAGAATCAAATAGTTCAGTTTATGATTTCCTTAAATTCATTCATTCATTTTCCCACGGCTTAGTTCCTTATTTATCAGGGGTTACCCCAGCGGAATAAACCGGCGACTTATCCAGCATATGTTTTACACAGTGGATGCCCTTCCAGCCATAACCCAGCATTGGAAAACACCATACACACTGATTCACACTCACACACTACGGCAAATTTAGTTCACCCAATTCACCTATAGCGCATGTCTTTGGTCTGTTGGGAAAACTGGAGCAGCCGGGGGAAACCCACAGCAACACGGGGAGAACATGCAAAAAGAAATGCCAACTGGTCCATCCGGGACTCGAACCAGTGACCTTCTTGCTCTGAGACGACAGTACTAACCACTGAGCCACCATACCGCATTTGATTCCATCACATTCTGAATCAATTTCATTCAAAATGTTAGTTAAATGCGTCTGTCCGGATCTGTTTGTCAGGTGGTAAAACATGAGGAGGTGGAGGAGCCCCAGTTGCACCACCAGGAGGAAGATGGAGAGATGGGGGGAGCGGAGGAGAGGAGGAGAGAGCTGGCAGAGGAGGAGATGGAGCAGGCTGGACAGCCTCAGAAACTGGAGGAGGAGTTTGATGGAGTGCATAATGAAGTGGAGGAAGAGGAGGAGGAGCCACAGGCCGGCCAACCAGATGAAAACGCAGTGGAGAAGGAGCGGCATCATGCTCAAGAGGTCTGAACGCTAATGAGATGCAGACAAATGATCAATACACTACTATTGGCTACATTATTCCTACAAGTTAATGCAGTTATTTGTTTGTTTTATTTATGTATTAAGTGTTAATAAAATGTATTAATGTTTCGTAAGAATATGCTTTACAACTGGGATCACCAAACTTGTTCCTGGAGGTCCGGGGTCCTGCAGATTTTAGCTCCAACCCTAATCAAACACAACTGAACAAGCTAATCAAGCTCTTACTAGGTATACTTGAATATACTTGTGTTGAAGGCAAGTTGGAGCTTAACCCTGCAGGGCACCGGACCTCCAGGAACGAGATTGGTGACATCTGTGCTACAAGGTTCTGTTAATTTGAACAAAAAAAGTACAGGAGTCATATGGCCATGAAAAACCTGGAAAAGTCATGGGTTTTGACAAAAGTTTTGGAAAAGTCATGGAAATTAGTTTAAGAAATATCTGTATACTTGAGTGTGGCTGTGCGATATTGGAAAAATCTGACATTACAGTATTTTGTATTTCTGTGATGTATATTGCGATGTGAATACAATTTCACCAGATGATTTGGCAGGTTTATTTTGATTGATTGGGGGATTTTGTAGGGGAGTGAATCTCGAATAATGTATTACAAATAAATTACAAGGATAGATAAATTAAATATAGCAAAGACAAAAGTAAATTATAGATTTCAGGTATTCACTATTCAGGTACAGATATTGAATGATCAACACTGCACAGTCTTCATTGTATATTATTCAATCTTTATTAAAGGTACAAAAAAATTCTTGTGGGTGACGCAATGCAAATGTAATGTACTGTAATGTGTATTTGACCAGGACACAGGGGTTACACCCCTGCTCTTTCACGAGAAGTGCCATGGGATTTTAAATTACCACAGAGAGTCAGGACCTCGGTTTAACGTCTCATCCGAAAGACTTGGCGCAGTAGGTAGTGCTGTCGCCTCACAGCAAGAAGGTCGCTGGTTCGAACCTCGGCTCGACTCAGTTGGCGTTTCTGTGTGGAGTTTGCATGTTCTCCCTGCGTTCGCGTGGGTTTCCTCCGGGTGCTCCGGTTTTCCCCACAGTACATGTGGTACAGGTGAATTGGGTAGGCTAAATTGTTCGTAGTGTATGAGTGTGTGTATGAATGAGTGTGTGGATATTTCCCAGAGATGGGTTGCGGCTGGAAGGGCATCCGTTGCATAAAAAAAGTGCTGGATAAGTTGGCGGTTCATTCCGCTGTGGTGACACTGGATTAATAAAGGGACTAAGCCGACAAAAAAAACGAATGAATGAAAATTTCTTGTGGCCGGATGTTTTAAAATGTGAAATATATTAAATATTGAAATATTCACACAGTCACAGGCCTTAAAGGAACAGTTTACTCAAAGAATAAAATGTACTCACTATTTACACACTTTTCACTTGATTCAATAGTATAGGAGTTATTAAATTATATTCTTTTTGTATTCATTTAAAAAAGAAAACTCATAAATGTTTAAAACAAGTAAAGGGTAGAATGAAAATGGGAAGTAATTTTTGGGTGATCTGTCTCTTTATAAATGCATGCAGATGATAAACTTTTACTCCAATATTAAACTCTATATTAAACTATATTACATTGCATATCCTGCGACGTGACCATTGCGGATGCACACATTGCGATATTGATGCTAAAACGATATATTGTGCAGCCCTAACTTGAATATAGGTTAGTTGTCATTATTTCTTTTCTGTTCTTGGCCAAAAACTTGCTCTCACATTGTTAGTGCTGTTTAAACATTATCAAAATAATTGTACAGAGATATAAAAACAAATTTAAACTAAATAGATTGTTGCGTGTTCTATGATATGCTGTAATAAATATGAACGTCATTATTTTTCTTATTATTTACCATGTATACGTAAACAATTCATGAATTAATAGGTCATGAAAATTTACTTGAAAGTTCTGGAAAAATCTTGGAAAAGTGATGGAATTTTTGTAGTAAAATGTGTATGAACACTGAAAGTAGCAGCGGTAATTATGTGAAATATTATTAGAATAAGAATAATTACTCTTTATTTTAATATGTGATGTAATACAAAGCTGAATCGTCAGCATAATTTTTCCAGTTTTTCAGCATCACATTATCCTGTAGATCATTGTAACATGCTGATTTGCAGAAACGCAATTGCTGAATGGAGCATACGCCAACCTACATATCCTAAGAATAAAATAAAATCAATCATTTCTGTTCAATAGTAAGCCAACTCTTATCCTTTTGATTCGCATATTTTCTTGTGCAGTTGAATTCACAGAATTTCTACAAAGTATGTTGCATACTGTAAACTCGCAGACGTTTTTCGTTACATCCATAATGCGTGTTTATTTTCCTCATTTAAAATCTAAAAAAAGTTTACGGATTTACATTTTTCTGATCCTGCACTCTCAAAAAAAAGGGTACAATGTTGTACCAAAGACGGTACAGACCCTTGTCACAGCAGCAGTACCTTTTTATGGAACAGAATTGTACCTTAAGACTAAGGCCCCGTTTACACTAATGCGTTTTCGTTTTAAAACGCATAAGTTTTGCTACAGTTACGCCATCCGCCCACACTGCGCCGGAGTTCTCGAGCGCCGTAAACGGAGCGTTTTGAAAACGCTGGAGAGGCCGTTTTCATTCTAAAACGTTGCTGCTCCGTTTCAGTGTGGATGAGGAAAAAACGGAGACATCTGAAAACGGAGGCGGGGCTGCTGAGATTCGCTACCTGATTGGGGCTTTTGTATCATTGCGTATCCTTCCCTTATTCGTCAATTCCCTATCACATGACTATAACACATGGCTTTAACGCTACCGGAAGACAGTACTGTAAACAACAACATGGGCACAGAAATGGGAGCGTTGTTTGCACTATTGTCTGTTTTAGGCGCCATTGTGCAGTTATTCATTTGTTATGTTTAGTAACAACTCGACTTCGTCGTCTGTCCACAAAAATACCTCTCTTGCTTTCTTTGCCATCGCGTTTTTAATGTACAACTGGCGTTTGTTGACTAACAAAAACCAAATGCCCAGCGAGATGCATGCTTTCTGTTTATACTAGAACACGCATGCCCAATGGACCATTGCACGCAAATGGTCACGTGATATACGTTTTTGGTGGCGTAGTGTGGACGGAGATATGTTCAGAGACACTAGGTAAAACGCTAGTGTGGATGCGGATCGTTTTTGATCTAAAACGCCGTTTTAAAACTAAAACGCACTAGTGTAAACGGGGCCTAAAAAAACAAATTTGTACCATTGCAGTTTGTACCTTTAAGACCATGATTTGTACCATGGGAAACCAAAATGTACCTTTGGTGTTTAAAACTTGCAGAGTCAATATTGTACCTTCATCAAAGATACAAATCTGATCCATGAAGGTACCACTACAGCAGGGGTGGCCAACCCTGTTCCTGGAGAGCCATCTTCCTGCAAAATTCAGTTGCAATCCATATCAAACACACCTGCCTGCAATTATCACGTGGTGTTCAGGTCCTTATTAATTGGTTCAGGTGTGTTTGATATGAGTAGCAACTGAAATCTGCAGGAATGTGGCTCTCCAGGAACAGGGTTGGCCACCCCAGCACTACCGTGACAAGACACTTTGTCCCTTAAGTATCAAATGTGTTCCTTCAAGAACTATTTAAAGGCATTTTGCTTTATCCAAAATGTGTCAATTTGTTTTCAGTAAATATCAAACATCAAATACAGTTTTAAACCATGTTTTTTTAAAGTTTCTTATTGTATAAATGCAACTTTTCCATTTACAAAAATTTATAAAAAATACTTGAACATAAATCAAGATAATTTTTTTTCCTAAACATTTCACAGCACTTTTCACAAAAATGTTACTGAAACACATTCTCCCATGCACAATTTAAAACATTTTTTTCTAATTTTTTAGAAATTAGATTACAAATACCTTTGTAATCACTTAAAAGTTAATTTATTTACTTAATTTAAAAATAGAGCACAAATAGTAACAAGATATGCACAATGTTTGATTAGTTTTACAATAATAAAATGTCTGCATGAACACTTTGCATATGCAGGACTTTTGCCAGCTCACGTGCGTAGTGGAACGCAAACGTCAAAAGATGCGGATATCAATAATGAAAATGTATTTATCAGAAAATGCTTAACAAATGTTTATTAAAATGCCTTCAATGTTTAGTTTACAATATAGTTTTGTTTTACCAGTTGTTTTGTTTTATAGAACTTGGCTCAATAATGGCTCATGTTTTAATATTGAAATTATTCATAAACAGTACAGAACAGTATCATATCAGGTCTTTTCCTTACCATTTAAAGTAAAATTTTTTAAAGGTACAAAACTTTCTTCTTAAGGAGCATTATTTGTACCACCGTGTACCTTTTATTCTGAGAGTGAATACCTCTGTGGTTTGGAAAATGTAAATAGATGCTTTAATATAATGTTAACTTATTCTTTCTCTGTGAACTTATGTTTTGAGTTTTTTTTTTTTTATATATACTTTACTTTTATTTATCTTTTTTAAGGAAAAAAAACAGGGAAAAAATACAAGTAATGGATTTAAATAAAATAAAATAAATTAAATAATACAATAAAACACCAGAACTTAAATGAACAGTTGACTGGTCACATATTTCCTTACAGGTCATATGAACAAATACACATCGAAATCAGATTACACTGTGTAAAAGCATAAGTACAATCCATTTCTCCCAATATTGCAGGTATTTGTCCATTTGTAGTTTTAAAGAAAAAGTCATCCTCTCCATCTTTTGAACATTAGATATGATATCCAATCATTCAAATTTCGTAGGGGTTTTCAGTTGTAGCCACTTTTGAGTCACAGTTTTCTTACTGGTTGCTTGGAGTATTTTTAATAAATACTTGTCTTTTACCATTAAGTTGGCTGCAATATTTCCCAGATAAATTGTTGTAACAGAAAAATCCACATCATCACTAAAAATGTTTCGTATTACTTGCATAACGTCCTGCCAGTATGACTGAATGGATGGGCAACTCCAAAATATGTGAAAGTGGTTTGCCAAGTCTTCTCCACATTTCCTCCAGCTCTATCCCCTGTCCTTCTCCTGTGTTTGCATATATTTTGAGTTTTTACTGCAGATGTCATATTCATATAGCTGGAATTGCTCATAATTATTTTTTTTTTATTCTTAGCTATTCCTGGTTCATCCTTAAATACTAACTCTATTTTCTGTTTTTGTCCTGTTGTTTGTCCCTCCCTCTTCTGCTCTTCCCGCAGGTGGCACCAGCTGAAGGTCATGCGCAGGTGGAGCGGGTGAAGTCTGCTTATGAACAGCAGCAGGAGCAGCAGCGTCTGGCGGCACAGCTGGCGGAGGAGCGCAGACAGCTGCATCTGCGTCAGGAGGCCCTGCAGAAGCAGCAGCTGCAGCAGCAGAAGGAGAGAGAGGAAAGACTACGCCTGCAGAGAGAGAGAGAGGAGCAGCTGAACCGAGAGGCAGATCTCAAAGAGCAAAAACTCAAGCAAGAGATGCTCCGGTCAGAATTACTGCTAGTTATTTATTAGACTATTAGCTTCTCAATCTCCTGGTCCTCGCTGCCCCCTGTTATTTCTATAGCGCTTTTATAGTGTAGATTGTGTCAAAGCAGCTTAACATAGAAGTTCTAGTAAATTGAAACTGTCAATCCAGTTCTTAGAGTTGAAGTACAGTTCAGTGTATGTAATTTTTACTACTGAAAGCCAAAACACTGAGGAGCAAATTCAATGATGTGCAGCCCCACAACCTATGCATATAGTGGGGGAATTAAGTATTAAAAGTCATTATTTTTCTCAGAAAACATATTCTTAAAGGTGCTGTGGACTTTGTGGACTGTGAAATTTTCACCAGATGTTGATAACAACCAAAGAAATCCATAAATGCAAAGAAAAAAATCTAATTAGTTTATAAATTAAGTTATGTGTAATAAAATGAAATGACACAGGGAAAAAACACATGAAGAAAGGGAGGTGTGTGAAGTCCAGTGAAAGCCCAGATAGCAACCCTCAGCCCTTCCTCATTGTAAATTAAAACCAGCTGCTTCAGTCCAAAATCTACATTAGCTGTTGAAAATGAAACCAGTGTGGGCATTTCAACAAGACAATGGTCCAAAACAGAGCCAAGGAAACTCTCAAATGCTTTCAGAGAAAGTAAATCAAGCTGTTGAATGGCCCAGCCAAACACCTGACTTGAATCCAATAAAAAATACAAAATAAAGCTCAGATTTGATAGACGAGACCCACAGAACCAAAAAAAAAAAAAAAATCACACTTGAGCTATGCATGTACGGGAACTTCATTTTTCATATGAGCGGCGTCATTAAGCTGCCACTACTTTAGAGGTTTGTTCCCTAAGTGGCCTGTGAAGCTGCAAACATTTTTGTAGCGGGAATCATTTATTTTTAGATATTAAGTGCTTAGCATAAATAAGTATAGTCCGGTTTTGAAAATGAATTCTCAGTGAATATAGTTCATATATTTTGGTGCATTTCATCAAAACAGATTTAATAAACTAATAAATTCATTAAAATAAGAGTTTGGTCTCCTAACATCTTTAGAAATAGAAAGATAATACATTTAAATTTAATTAAAATACTGCAAAAAAAAATTCTTAAGTTTATATTTATATATTTTGTTTCTCTTGATTGATTTATTTTTTCCTCTCTAAAAAAAAAAAAAAAAAAAAAAAAATCCCTAATATGCAATTTGGGTGGAGTAATATTATTGTAAGTTTTTGTGTTACTTTAGTTCCAATTGAGTTTTTTTTATCCGATTTTCCCTGTGCAAGGAGTAGAGAGCAGTGAACACTATGTAGGAAAAGATGTGTTGATCGGAACACTTCTTTCTTGGAGCTCTCTTCTAATGAGCTGGGTATTTAAATCAGGTGTGTTAAGCCAAAGAGACATGCAAAATAAGCCGTTTTTGGGGACCACAAGGACCATGAGAACCACTGATTTAATACACTAACTCTATCATGAATGAGATTTAGGGCTCTATTTTGACGATTCATGCGCAAAGCGCAGGGCGCAAAAGCAATTAGGGCTTGTCAGAATCCACTTTTGCTAATATAAGGACGGAAAAATTCTATTTGTGCCATGGTGCATGGTTTAAGAGGGTTAAGCTTATTCTCTTAATGAGTTATAGGTGTGTTTTAAGAATAAAACAAACAGAGTCTCATCTCCCATTCCCTTTAAGAGTCAGTTGCGTCACGCCATAGTGCATTTGCTACTTACATGACAGACTTCGTAAGTGGAAAAACTGAGCATTTCACTAGCAAGAAAACAGTTAAACAGAGCATCTACAGCCCGAGAATGAGAGATGAGCCTCCTCATTCTTTACTTTCACTTTCACGCTTGTGGATGGGGAAACGTGTTGTATGCACAGACATCCATTAGCCTATAAATAATTAATTTCGTTTGTTAAGTGCAAATATAGTTTTCAAAATTATTTCTAAATTCAGTTCTAATTTCCAGCAAATGAAAAAAATGAACAATAATAACGAAGTGTGCTCACAAAACTGAGTTATATCCTAATACACATGCTGCCATGCCCCATATGGTCTAAAATCTGACAGGTGGGCAAATCTAAGCTTGTTTTTAATAAAACAAATATACATATGCATACAATAATAATAATACACAATAATGCATATATAATAATACTGCTAATAATAATAACATTATACAAAAGCAAATTGTTAAGCATAAATTGAAAAAGCCCCACGAGATGAAGAAGGCATGAAGGTATGGTTTTTATATTTATGTAGGCAAGAAAATAATAATTTTTGTAATATTTTAATCCTTTATCTTTATATCCTATAGGCTATATATCCTTAATAAATCCTATATATATCCTTAATATTTAAATTATTTTTCATTTGTAAAGATATTTGCGTATTGTTGTACATCCTGTGTGTATTAAGCAATGTGTAAGCATGGTGCACAACTAATACGCTCTGCTCTAAACAATAGATCGGCTTTGTTCTGATCTATTTGAACCTTCTATTTAAGTTCCTCAAAACAGCAACGCGCCAGCAATGCGCCTCAACATGCCTTCCTTTTTAGACCAGAACGCCTATGGGTGCACATATGAGCGCAAATGCATTTGCTATTTAAACAGCGTGGCGCAAAACATCAAAAAGACTCTTGCGCCAAGCTGAAACTAGCAAACAACTATTGCGTCGCACCTTGCGCCGCATTGGGCCGGGTGTATGATTGGGCCCTTAAATATAGTTTTATGCTCTAATAGAGCACATTGCTTTGATTTTCCAACAAATAAGAGCATCAGTCAGTAAATAGTGTTATTTAATACAAAATATAAACAACAATTACAATTATTTTTAACAATAATTTGTGTGTTAATGAATGCTGTTCATGCATGCATGTTTAGAGGCTCTTCTTGTCACTATGATTTACTTTTTCACATTTGACGGTCACCTTTGTATTAAGTGACCTGTATTGCATTGAAAGTTTCTCAGTTCTTTTCCCCTTACAAATCAAACTCACCACCTTAGAGAAGGCTGATATAGACCTGGAATGTATTTTATAAATCTGTTTCTGTTTATTTATTAGGAAAAAGGCAGAATATGAAAACATGGATGCTGATATAGTGCAGGGAGAAGAAGAGGCACAAATAGCCGAGGAGAAAGGTGACTGTTCATTTGTTTTGACCATGTTTACTTTAATCTGTTTTCTTGAGTGTTTTAATATCAGAGGGTGATTTTCATGTGTTTTTGTGATTTGTAGAGGAGAACGCACTACATGAAGATCCAAGGCAAGGTGAAGAGGACAACGTTCACCATGAGGAGAAGGTGTTTTACCTTATGTTGTTATAAACACACACATGCACCTTTGTTCTTATAAATTGGGCTTGAGAAAGGCATTTTCTTCACAGAATGAGCAGTAAAAATGGGGCAATAAAAATATTTATTTTAGATAATTTATACATGGAGTCTTTTACAACCAAGATAATTTAATGCATTATAAAACAAAATGGGCAGTTGTTTTTATTTGTTTTTTTTAACTTTCAAATTCTTCTTGGGTCATTTTCATTCATTAAAAACTAGGGATGTAACAATATTGTAAATACTGTCATACCGCAAAAGTAATTTTTTTTCAGTATTACCATAGGCGCATGACTCAATAAAACTATATTTCTGAGAAAAGTTTGCTTAGGCGAATGAAGCGAACGGGTGGTAGCGGGAACTACAATTCCCATCAGCCCAGGCGTGGCCATCATCCTTTGCTGTCTGTTGTTACTACAGATCCAGTAATGCGGAAATGGAGTGTGTGAACCTAAAGCGGGTTTTAAATCGGATATGTGAAAGTATTTCGGTTTCTTTCTAAAAAGATATAAAAAAGGAGAAAAGGTGACAGACAAAATAAACAACGGTATGCATGAACTGCCAGACTGGTGAAATATAAGTCGGGGAATACGACTAAAATGGGGGCTGCAGAACACAGCATACTTGTTAGATTTTTTGCAGACATTGACTTGTACCGCAAAGAGACCTCTATCTCACTCATGGCTTGTCCTCTCAAGTGGTGGAAAGACAATGCACAACGTTACCCACTGCTGTCAACCTTGGCTAAATCATATCTCTCTGTCCCAGAAACCTCAGTCCCAAATGAGAGGGTTTTTTTCTGTTGGCGGGGACATTGTTAATGCCCAAAGATCCCAGAATTTATTTATATGATAATTTTCCTTTAAAAAAAAAAACATCTCTATCTGAGTAATTGATTAAATGTTGAATGTGATGAGTTTTCAACAATACTAAATTGAAACTTTATTTTTTTTATATGGTTTAATAGTTTTTTGTTATTAAAATTGAAAAATTGAAGTTCCTGTTTCAAAACTTACAGGTAGATGGCTAATTTGTATGTCATTGATATGTTCAGTGCTAAGGTAAATAAACACTTCTGGCACTTTTTTCGAGTCTTTTCATTAGTTTTGTTTTCCTGTAAATTACTCAATAAATACCGTACCGTGCCATTCATACCGAGGTATTACCGTACCGTGAAATTCTGAGACCGTTACATCCCTATTAAAAATTAAACTATACACTACCTAACCAAAGTCTTGTCGTCAATCCCAGTTGTAAGAGCAACAAATAATAACTTGACTTCTAGTTGATCATTGCATACTGATGAATAATGTGTGCATGTAATATACATCTATATAGTGCATTTATTGTGTATTGCTATACAAAGCACTTTTATGATCAATGCATTAATTTGACAGCGACCAGTAGAAGCGGATGTTGATCCAGAGGACGACCCCAACAACCAGGGTGAGGATGAGTTTGAGGAGGCTGAGCAGCAGCATCATCATGAGGAGGAAGAGCCAGCACCCGTCGGCCACCCGGACATGCACCCACATGCTGAGAATCAGCACCAGCCACCCGCAGAAGAGCAACTGGTGGTAAATGACAGCTTGTTTTGCAGATGATACTGTGATACTACATTTAAAATTATAATTATTTTATGAAATATTTTTTTTAATTATATAACTATGCATACAGCTGAAGTTTGAAGTATTAGCCCTCCTGAATTGTTAGCCCCAATTTCTGTTTAATGGAAAGATTTATTTCAACACATTCCTAAACATAATAGTTTAGATTAGATTCATGATGACAGTACACAATATTTCACTAGATATTTTACTAGGTATCAAGATACTAGTATTTAGCTTCAAGTAGCATTTAAAGGCTTAACTACTGTAGGTTAATTAGGCAAGTTAGGTTAATTAGTCGTTGCATAGCAGTGGTTTGTTCTATTTATAATCGAAAAAATATATTGAGAGTGCTAATAATATTGACCTTAAAATGTTTTTTTTTTTTTTACTGCTTTTATTCTAGACAAAATAAGACTTTCTCCGGAAGAAAAAATAATTATCAGACTTACTGTGAAAACTTCCTTGCTCCGTTTAACATCATTTGGGAAATATAAAAAAAATTCACTGGAGGGCTAATAAATTTGAACTGTATGATGGTTGCCCAATGAGACTTCTCTTTTGGATAGAGCTATATGGATTTTTTTAGGCAACGCAAGTTTATTTATATAGCACATTTCATATAATTTTCATCAAATATATTTTGGATCGTCTACATTTAGAGAGAACCCATGTACAATGTACACATGCACAGTTGAAGAATTATTCGCCCTCCTGTGAATTTTTTTTTTCTTTTTCAAATATTTAATAATTAATGTTGTTTAACAGAGCAAAGATTTTTTTTACAGTAAGTCCTATATTATTTTTTCTTCTGGAGAAAGTAGTAATAGCCCCTTTAAGCAATATTTTATTTTTTTGATTGTCTAAAGAACAAACCATCGTTCTATAATGATTGCCTAATAGGGTATATGCCGAGCTAGTGCTGTTCCCATGCTGATACACTTCCGGTGACCTGTTATTGTGAACTTTTTCCCATTTTATACGGTTCCTTATACAGCATCGATGTTGTAATGGCATTAAAATACATTCAGTTAAATAAACTTTAGCATTTATTTATTTGCTCAAACGTAAAACGAGACAAAAAGCCGTTTACTCGCACGCGCCCGTCAGAATCGGCAGGCTAACGCAGAAGCTCCATTGAATATACTGGGGTAAAATAAATGCTCATATTATAAAGACATGGCGGGGGAAATGTAATTTAATTCAGTGCTTCTTGTACAATCTGAGACCCACTTAAAATCGGATATCACTCAGCCAGTGGAGATCTCTGATTTTTAAAGAAAACAGACCTTAAACGCACCGGATTTTGCATTGGCATTCAATTCGCCGGAAGTGCTTAACCCAGGTTAATGGCAAATTAAAAGTCCTATTAGCATGCTTCGGCATATACCTTATTACTATGACTTGCCTAATTAAGCCAGTTAAGCATTTACATGTCACTTTAAGCTTTATAGAAGGGTCTTGAAAAATATCATCATGGGAAAGATAAAAGAAATCGGTTATTAGAAATAGTTATTAAAACTATTATGTTTTGAAATGTGCTGAAAAAATCTGTTAAACAGAAACTGGGGAAAATATATACAGAGGGGCTAATAATTCAGGAAGGCTGAAAATCTGACTTCTTTACTTTACAAATTAAAATTATAAACTTAGTTCACAGATTCATATGAAATATACTACAATAAATTTACTCTGCAATTAAAACCCCTTTAAGGCTTAGATTGACCATCTTTAGATGTACTTGCAAATTCTAAACGGGTCTCATGTCTGGAAAAGTTCTACATATACTTCACAGACTTTTAATTTCAGTCGGCCAGTCCCAGGGCTTCCGGTGAATTTTCATGGCGTACAGAAATCGCTGTGTTTAAGATCTGATTTCTTTAAAAAAAACAGCAATCTTCACTGCCTGGCTGAGATACGATATAAAGTGGGTCTCAAACCGGACTAGAAGCACTTCAAATAAATTATATTGCTCCCCGCCATGTCTTTAAAATATGGATATTAATGCTTGCGTCTATTTAACTGATCATATTTTAATTACATTACAACATCGATGCTGTAAAAGGAACCTTATGAAATTAAAAAATAGTCACATAAAGCTCTCACTGGAAGTTCATCATTGGCTGAAAAACACTAGCTGTGCATAGAACCCATAGCCATTTATTGTAAACCAATTTGTTTTTGCGTCTCATTGTCATAATTCGGAGTAAACAGAACTTTTTTGTTTTTGAGACTTGATTTAGTTTGAGAATGTGATATCTAGAGGATATTTGTTATGCAGCAGAGCAAGTCTAAAGTGATGAGTTTTGTTCAGATGCCCGGAAACCCAGATCAGCAGGAAGACGCTCTGGATGAGCAGTACCAGGAGGAAGGAGATGATGAGGTTGGAAAACTAATGCAGTTCTATAAATGAAGCAGGAATGGTTATTTGTTCCCTAACTGTGATTTTGCTTTGTGTTTCTAGGCTCAAGAAGAGCTGGTAGACAATCCCAAGCATGAAGTGGCGCGAGAGGAAGAGGGAGACCCGTATAATGAGGAGAATGTAGAACAGGTACAGCATAGTCTTCTTTCAAATACAAGCCATATTTCTATTCGTTAAAGAATTTTAACTATTGTGTGCTGTTGGGGATTGAATGCTGTTGGGGGTGATTTTAAGTCTTAATTAAACCACAACTTTCTCTGTTTTTCAGCAAATAGAATGAGTTTGGTGAAGAATCTTATTTTGACACTTATTTTGGGAATCAACAGTACACTGGGGAAATTGGCTACCCTTTTGTTATGTTTTTGGCTGTTTTTGCGCCATGGACTTCCATTATAATGACGTTTTTTGTCAATATAGCAGTTAACATTATAACAACAGTAAAATTACACATTTTACCTCTTCCCAATAGGGAAAACAACCAAGAACACTTGATTATATGTTGTCATGGCTTTGCAACCAAAAATATCATTATAATGAAAGTCAATGGGGCAAAAACAGCCAATAACACAACAAAAGGGTAGTCAGTTTGAACAGAACCTAAGGGTTAACATTGATGATGATGATGATGATGATAATAATAATAATAATAATAATAATAATAATAACTATAATAATAATAATAATGATAATAGTTTCTCGTAAATGTGTCGCTGGACCGACAGTATATTTTTAGCAATAGCCAAAACTGCATTGGATGGGTCAAAATTACCGATTTTAATTTTATGACAAAAATCATTAAAATATTAAGATCGTGTTTCATTTTAGGCTTATTTGACCGAATTCCCTTTACTATGAAGAAATAAAAATATGCAATAATTTTTCATTGGTAATGTGTAGGCCCACAAGGAACCTGCATGTGCAGATTTGCACAGTTTTTAGCCCATCATTGAGTGTATTATGTGTGTACATTTTTATGTATTCCGTTTTTAAGGCAATTTCAGTAATATTATTGACCGAATTAAAATGTTCATATGATTTATTTACAATGCAGTTTGTAAAGTAAGATTTTCTGTCTTTTAGTAGATTCATAATATAAGAGACTTGATTTGTTTACCAAATAAGTGGATCTACAGTAATTGGATTAACATTGTAATCATTGAATGAAAGTTAAAAAGGTATTATTTTCATTATATTCAACTATTACATTTTTAGTTATGATACTCCCAAAATCATTCCGCATAAATCCACAGATTTTTAGAAATCCACAAAATTTTCTGCTATTTATTTATTTATTTATTTATTTATTTATTTTTATTTATTCATTTATTTATTTGTTTTTATTAATTTATTTTTATTTATTTATTTTTATTTATTTATTCATTTATTTATTTTTATTTATTTATTTTATTTATCTGTTCATTTTAATCCTCAGATTCATGATTTTCAAGTAGTATCTCAGTCAAATTTCGTCCAAACCTAACAAAGTATACTTCAACGAAAAGCTTTTTTTAGGGTTCAGATTTTAGCTGATGTATAAATCTCAATATCCAAAATTTGTGATCGCTTGATTTGATTTAATACTGAAAGCCGCAGTAATGATACTGAAAATTCAGCTTTACATCACCGTAATAAATGACATTTTAAAATATATTCAACTAGAACACTGTAGGAATAATTGTTCAAAATATTACTGTTTAATTGCTCTGCTGATCAAATGATTGCAGCCTATGTGAACAATCTTTTTAAAGCATCACATCTTTGGAGATAACATTTTTAAAAAGATTTGCGTATTTACTAACACTTTACTATAAGGTCTCATTAGTTGATGTTAGTTAATGCATTTTCTAACATAAACAAACTACATGGATGGGAGACCACATTGAAAAACTAGGTTGCTGTTGGAAGCGGTGTTTGAGAGGCCAGCCGGGGGCAATTAACCTGTGGTCCGTGTGAGTCCTAATGCCCCAGTATAGTGAAGGGGACACTGTAATGTCAGTGAGCGCCGTCTTTCAGATCAGACGTTAAACCGAGGTCCTGACTTCAAATTCCATGTAACCCTGGTTTCCTGGCCAAATTCTCCCTGTCAGCCATCACCCATCATAGCCTCGCAATCATCCCTGTCCACTGAATTGGCTCTTTCACTGACTCTTCACTCCACCAGTAGCTGGTCTGTGGTGAGCTCACTGGCGCTGTTTATCAGAGTATATGCTGCACACCGGTGGTGGTGTGACAAGACCCCCCCCCCCTTCATGATTGTGAAGCGCTTTGGGTGATAACAATCATTAATTTTGGATGTTAATAATGCATTAGTTAATGTCGAACTAAGAATAATAAATGCTGTACATTTACATTTAGTCAAGTTCTGTTCATGATTACCTCATGTTAGTAAATACATTGTGTTAAGCATTATGCATTTGTTATTGTTAAAATGTGAACTATAGGAGCATAAATTCCTCTAGTAGAGCTGTTTGTATAGGAGCGAACACTTTTCATGGTCTCTGACACTGTAATGTATCACAGAGAGTTATGTAGTGCTTACTTGTGTGTTTTCACTTATTCTTTTGTACAAGTCGTCGCTGTAACTGTAGAGCGCAGCGCCACAGTTGGGTGAGACGGATCGATTGCAGTGTCCTCCGCGGTGTCCACTTACTGCCATCAGTCCAGCTCCACTTTAAACATTCATCCTCCATTTTCACCTCTTGCTTTAGATTCAGGGGAAGGTTTCATTTATGCTTGTGTAATCATCTATCAAATCTAGAGCATTTGCTAGAATGTTTAACAGTCTGAGTTTTTAATTAAGTTAGATTAGGTGAGATTAGATTCAACTTTATTGTCATTACACATGTACATGTACAACACAATGCAGTTTAGGTCTACCCAGGAGTGCAAAAGCAGCAAGTGCAGGATATAGATATAAGTGCAATTGATATGTAGAGATGGAGGTACTGTGAACATGATATACAAGTCATGTTAACCAGAATCAGATATTTACAAATGAACATACAGGCAGCTATTAATAATCAGGAATAGGCA